ACAATGCAAGAGAATTAATGAAGTAAATATGCACTGCTCAGAGAAGGTCTTGTCAGTAGTTTCGTGTGCAGACTTCCAGAGATTTATATACACAGTTTTGTGTGTCTATAAACACACAAACAGAAAACACACACAACAGATGTGGTTTTTTTCTTGAACAAAAAGAGAATTGTGTGCTAAGAGATGAGACCTTAACTTCGGGCCACAGAAAAGAAATCATTGCGTAACGTTATAGAGGGTTAGCTGATGCGATGGTGCTAAGTGTACGTGTTGCGTACCCCAAACTTACACCATGTTATATGCCATTTATATTTCAAGTTTTTAAATTTTTTTCTTTTTATTGATTTTTGAGAGAGAGGAAGGGAGAGGGAGAGATAAAACATGGATGGGAGAGAACATTGATTGGCCGCCTCCTGCATGCCCCCCACTGGGGATCAGGCCCACAACCTCGGCATGTGCCCTGACCGGGAATCAAACCAGCGACCTCTTGGTGCAGGGGTCAACTCTCAACCACTAAGCCACACCAGCTGGGCTATATTTCAATTTTTTAATGTGAAAAAATTTGAATTGTAATATACCAACTGTTCTGTAGCTTTTGGTTTTCATTTAACGATGAATCGATTTATAGAGGACATCTTTCCTGGGTGGCAGAGTATAGATCAACGATGCTGTGCAGGGTGGGTGAGGACCTGGGGCTCTGAACCCAGAGGGAACAGAGCAGGTGGGGAGACCAGGAGCACTGGCCTGAGGGTACACCCAACTGAGATGATTCTGGGCGTGATCACGCCCAGGTCCTGGGACTTGCCCAGTTGACACGCCAGTGGCCCTCGGGTGGAATTGGACTCCAACATGGGTCTTTGATCGCAAACCCAGGTGAAGTGAGCTACACCCCGACTGGAAGCCAAAAATCCATAGTGTGGTGGTGTGTCCACACAGGGGAAAACTCTTCTGCCATAAGAAGGAAGGGAATTCTGGCCCCTCTGCACCGCGGCTGAGCCTGGAGGACCTTATGCTCAGTGACATAAGCCAGACACAGAAGGACAAATGCTGCAGGACTCCAGGTACACCAGGGACCCAGAGGAGTCAAACTCACAGACAGAGGGTGGGTGCCAGGGCTGGGGGCGGGAGATGGGGCAGAGCTCCGGTTTGGGGAGAGGAGAAGCTTTTCGTGGGTGGTGGTGATGGTCACACAACGCTGTGAATGTGCTTAGTGCCCCTGAAACGTTTGCTTGGAAATGGTCCATTTTATATGCAGAACAAAGAACAAAGATGGAGTGTGGTGGCTTTTCAGGAACAAGCTCCGTTTCTTTCTGTCCGTTGCCTCCTTTCCTCTGATTTGTTGCCGTAGAAATTGGCCCTTCGAGGGACCACGTGGGCGTGAGGCCGCCCCAGCCCACGCAGCTCCGCAGCCCTGAAACGCATCCACCTGAACTGCTCTTAAGGGCACGTAGTCTGCGTTCCCAGGCTGAGCGTCTGACGCCCGCACCCTGGGAACCGGTCCTGGACGCGGCTCTGGCTGCGCAAGGCCCGGGCCGTCAGGCCGCGCTGAGCACCACCGGCCAGCGGGGGGGCGGCACTCCACACCCAGGACCATGGCCCCTGTTTCCACACGGCCCCTCCTGATCCCTGGGAATCGCTGTGGACCGGACAAGGCCCACCGGCAAGGGCCGCCACCAGGTATTTTCAGAGAAAACAGCAGGAGTTCAGCTGGTTGGGGGGAGGGGAGCTCCCCTAAAAGCACGAATGGGGGGCACGTTGTAGCCCACAGCGTCTGGGACTGCACTCCAGTCTCGTCTCATTAAAGGGTCCCATTAAAGGGACCATGTTCAAAGGGCAGGAAACGGGAGCAATGACTGAAGTTCGGAAAACTGAGTCAGGAGAGGAGGCTTCGGTTCACCCCGACCCCCGAGCCCAGGCCCTTTCCAGCTCCCAGACTGGGGTGGTCCCTGGAAGACCCGGACCCAAGGCAGGTGAGGTGGAGGCCCGGATCCCAGCCTGCGGCCTCTCCGGGTACCGACCTTTCCTGAGCACCCACAGGTGTGCCCGGCTCCCAGGGGAAACCGAGGAACGGGCAGGAGGGGCTGTGAGGGCCCGTCGTCGTCACTGAAAACCCAGTCAAAGCCCCCAACCGTCCAGAAACGAGGGTGGAGGGGGTCACGCCCCTGAGAAGCGAGAAGCAGGAAGCAAGGAACTTCCCAACTAAATGGGACCAATGGCAGTTTCTCTGCTAAGACAGGCAGCTAAGGGCTCAGGGTGGCGCATGGCTCCAGGACCCCAGGGGTTGCCACACCCCCTGGACTCAGGAGAGGGGTCGCAATCAGCCGGTGCTGACACCTGAGAACGCGGTAAACAGGGACGGTGACAGGTGGTGCATGGGAAGTCAGAGAAGGATAGAAGTTGTAAAGACAGGATCCCGCCTCCTGGTCTGTTGCACACAAGTGATTGGTCAGCAAGCCATTGCTTGGTTTGCTCTTTCGCAGAAAACCTGACCAATGCCCGGCCCTGCAGGAGAGCTTGAGGGGAGGCCAGTATCGATGTCACAACTCAGCCCAACCCAGGGGCAGCCTCCACAATTATGGACACAGGATGAAGATGGACTCGGCCAGACCTGGGGAACAATGTCCTCAAACTTTGGGGGTGCATAAAAAACCCTCAGGGTGCCCTGGCCGGTTTGGCTCAGCGGTTAGAGCGTCGGCCTGTGGTCCAGAGAGACCCAGGTTCGGTTCCCGCTAAGGGCACGTACCTTGGTTGCAGTTTGTCCCCGGCCCTGGTTGGTCGTGCGGGTGGCAGCCACTCGATGTGTCCCTTCACGTTGATGTTTCTCTCTCTCTCTCTCCCTTCCTCTCTCTCCCTCCCACTCTATCTGTACAAAAAATGGAAAAATATCCTCGGGTGAGGATTAAAAAAAAAAAAAAACCCTCAGGGTGCGGGGCAGCCTCAGCCCTAACGACCCTGGTTCTAGACCCGGGAACTGCATTTTGAGGAAGATTCCAGGTGATTCTGAAGCAGCGGTCTGGGACCACTGGTGGAGAAACTCTGCCCGCAGTTTTCTGTGCCAACCAGTCTTGTTCAGAGGCAGCGGCTGGCTGCTCCCGAGGGTGAGGAGAGGAGGGCGGAAATCATTTGTCGCCATGTGGCGTTGCCTGGGCGTCCACCTCTCCAGGGTGCCGATCAGGTCAGGTAGCACGAGGCCGGCGCACGTGGCCCGAGCTGCCCACCATTTCTGTGCAGTGAATGTGTGTCGGCCATGGTCCAGTGGGGCGTGCGACCTGAATGGTTTCATCACAAGGGTTCACCGTTAACTATCCGGATGCGGCGCGGAGAGGAATTAAGTGCTGCTTGCTTGAATCTGGGTGCACCTGCAAAAGGCGCAGCCTGTGCTCGCTGAACCCACTTTATAACCTCCCCCGGTCCCCGTGCACACGTCTCTGAGGTGTTCTGTCTGTGCGGGCTCCTCAAACAAAGCCCAGGGGCATAGAGGTCGTCATTTCCCGTAACCAGGAGGGCAGCCGCTCCGCCCATGAGCAAGGAACACGCACCTGTCACGTGACCATTAAACACGGATGCAGCCGTGCCTGTTTATTATATGCGGTAAGCGTGTCACATTGCAAGGGTTTGAAATTTCTTAAACAATAAAAAACGGAAACTGAACTTCACCATGGGTAGTTCAAGAGATACCGCTATAAATGCAATTCTCCTTGCAAGATGGGAAAGGGGCACGCGTGTGTGCGTGTGCATGCATGTTCATGTGTGTATGCTCGTGTGTACGTGTGTGAGAGCAAGAGGGAGGGAGAGAGGTCAAACGCAAGGGTAAAGGGATAAGCTACTTCCTTTCCACCAATAAAAACATGATTGTGTTGGGTTGGTACATTCTGCATAATTTCCATGATAAACAAAAACATTTGTTTTCATCTGGCGGAAGTGAGAACAGACCTCTTCCCTTCAGGAGCCCCCCTGCGCCCTCCTCTCCCTCTGCCCCACAGCCCTGCTCGTGGGAACCTTGTGTTCGTGAAGAGAACCCCACCAGAGGGCTCTGGTTCCCTGAGACTCTCAGCTCCGCCGACCCTCACCCACTGCGGATGCACAGGCCCCTTCTCCCTCTTCAGACTCTGCTAGCGGGAGGCACCTGAGCCACACAAGCCGGTGGTTCCCTTCACCCGGACCCCAGCGGGTGGGCAGGGACCGGGACAGCGTGACAGTGTGGGTCTGTCCCTGCACAAGCGGCTCCGCAGGGAGACGGACTGCGCCGGGGACACGGTGACCAGAGTCCAGGGCCTCAGGGGAGCACAGCCTGAGCCGTCCCCACGCTGCCACACACACCGCACCTCCCCGCAGGCTGCTCCGCTGCAGGGCGCCGTCGTGGCGAGCTGACCAGCTGTCCCCGAGGACACTGGACAGCCACCTCCCCACCCCACAGCACACACGCCTCACACTCACCCGCCCCCACCCAGTCACCTGTTCACACTCACCTGCTACTCTTACCTGCTTACATGCCTGCTCACACTCACCCACTCACACATCTCACACCCACTCACACCTCACACCTGTTCACATAGCCATGTGTGCTCACACATGTCCATGCACACCAGCACGCTCATGCACACACACTCACATGTGCACACACCAATGTACACACACACACACACTGTTCTACATGGCAACCGTCCAAAGTGAAAATCCGGAACCGTCTGTTCCGACACCAGCACCCTCTGGAGAGCAGCTGCAGCTGGGGTGTTGGGGGGGTCCCCACCAGCAAACGCTGCGCGGCTCCCTCCTGTCCCGCTTCTTGGGGTGAGGGTCGGAGCCGGGAGGTCTCTCCAAACAAGGACTGGAGCCAGGACGGGGCAGAGGGGGCGCATGTGGCTGTGGGTGTGCAAGGGAGACGGCCTCGGGTGACCTCGCACTTGGGGAGGCCACGGCGGCTCGGGGGCCATTCCTCCGCCCGCAACAGGGCCTCCGCCGGCCACGCACAGCGGTCACCTCTCCCGGGCCGGCAGCGGCTACTTCTCCGCCTCCTGCAGCTCCCTCAGCGCGGCTTGGAGGAGGCGCCGAAGCTTCCAGAACACGGCGGGGGCGGCTCCCTGGGGGCTGCTCCCCGCGCACTCCTGCACGGCCCCCCGCAGCTGCCGCTGAAGCTGGGGGGAAAGGGCGGCGCCCTTCAGAGCGGAGGAGAACCAGTGTCGGAAAATCTTGTCACAGACGACCTGGGGGAGGCAGTGGGACCTTCACTCAGGGCCGGCGGACCGGGGCCCGAGCCCGCAGGTGGTCCTCACAGGGACCTCAGCCCCGTCCCCAAGCCCCCGAGGGCTTTGGGAGGGTCCTCGGGCTCCGCAGGTGCTTTCCCTCGGGGCTCACTCAGCCCCACCGATGAGTCCGCAGCACTGTGCCGGGCAGAAGATTCCCCTCTGACCCCAGAGCAGGTGGAGACGCCCTGGGTGACACGGGCATTTCCCAGGACAAAGGGAACGGACGTCACAGACGGTGACCCATGCGCCCGGAGCAGCCCCGGGACCTGCGGACCGCGCCGCCCCGCCAGGCAGCGCCGGGGGCGTTCTAGGCCGGGAACCGTCCCAGGGCAGCGCCGGGGGCCGTTCTAGGCCGCGAACCGTCCCAGGACAGCGCCGGGGGCCGTTCTAGGCCGCGAACCGTCCCGGGACAGCGCCGGGGGCCGTTCTAGGCCGCGAACCGTCCCAGGCCAGCGCCGGGGGCCGTTCTAGGCCAGCGCCGGGGGCCGTTCTAGGCCGCGAACTGTCCCAGGACAGCGCCGGGGGCCGTTCTAGGCCATGAACCGTCCCAGGACAGCGCCGGGGGCCGCTCTAGGCCGCGAACCGTCCCAGGACAGCGCCGGGGGCCGCTCTAGGCCGCGAACCGTCCCAGGCCAGCGCCGGGGGCCGTTCTAGGCCGCGAACCGTCCCAGGCCAGCGCCGGGGGCCGTTCTAGGCCGCGAACCGTCCAGGCCAGCGCCGGGGTCCGTTCTAGGCCCGCCGGGGACCGTTTCTAGGCCGCGAACCGCTCCAGGCGCCGGGGGCCGTTCTAGGCCGCGAACCGTCCCAGGGCAGCGCCGGGGCCGTTCTAGGCCGCGAACCGTCCCAGGGCAGCGCCGGGGGCCGTTCTAGGCCGCGAACCGTCCCAGGGCAGCGCCGGGGGCCGTTCTAGGCCGCGAACCGTCCCAGGGCAGCGCCGGGGGCCGTTCTAGGCCGAGAACCGTCCCAGGGCAGCGCCGGGGCCAGGCGTCCGGGGCCCAGGGACAGGGAGTGAGCAGCAGCTCCTGCCGCAGCACCTCGAGGCTCAGCTGAAGGTAGGAGAGGAGCAGCTGTCTCACGGGGCCTTTGGAGCAGTTTCTTCTGAGAGCAGAAGTGAAGCCAAGCCGCGGTCTGGCCGGTCACTCTGACCGGATGGGAGTCACAGGGCTCACACGCGGTCGTCTCCTCCTGCTGGGAGGACACTGGGAGCGGGTGACGCTGCCTCCTCCTCCCGCACCCTGCTTCCACCGGCCTCATCCAGCAAATGCCTGTAACCGCCTAACTCGGGTTCCCAGTGCCCACAGGATGCTTTGTAAAAATGTTCTTATTTCTGTTTTGAATTGATAATACATCTTTCATGTGCAAGAATGTAAAATGTCCCGAAAGATAGACTGTCCTCTCAGTCTCGGTCCCGGCCCTGACATCCAGACACTGAGCTCCGGCTCTGAGGGGCCACCGCCTCCTTGATCACCCCTCCCCCCCCCCGAAAGTCTCTGCACACCCTGCCATCCTTTCCCTTTTCCTTCCCATACATGGCGAGATACCGCACTTACTGTCCTCGGCCGCCATTCCCACTCAATCAGACATCAGGGCGAGCCTTCCAGTCAGTTCTTATAAGAACGTCCCATCCTTTGCGACGGCTGCACCTCAGACGTGTGCTGTATCCTACATTATCTAACCAGCCCCCTACTGATGGAAATGCAGGGCGCTTACTGGCTTCTGCCATCGGGAACAATGCTGCAACAAATAGCTGGCATATGTGTCACTTCTGCATGTGATTTCATTTCTAGAAATGGAATTTCTGGGTCAAGGAGTGTGTGTGCATGTTTTCTTTTGACAGACCTTGCCAAACTGACCCATAAAAGTTGTAGAATTACACACTCACAGCGGTACACAATGAGAAGACTCCTTTCCCCCTCACCCTCACCAATACGTAGCTTGTCTTTCGATGTTGCCAACTGAGGGGTGAAAAGGCTTAATTTGCACTGTTCTTATCAGCCAGATTGAAAGCTGTTTCTGCTTCCTTTCAGTGAATGGTCAAGTTGATAGCCTTTGCCCACATTTCTACAAGGTTGTTGGTCTTTTCATATTAGTTTGTAGACGCTCTTTATATCTTAAGGACCTTCACCCTTTGCTTAGGTTGGTTTCCTGGAGAGCAGACTCTAAGAGGGAGGTTTGTTGAGATTTACTGAGAGGCGTTCTTGGGAACCACACTTCCATGGACTGAGAGAGAAGGTAAACGCCCAGTGCGGGAATCATTTCTCTGGCCCTGCAGTTATTCTTCATTGAGGCCAAGGGCCTGGACTTTGCAGGTGCCCCAACCCCACTGACCAGTCACTAGACAGGGCCCCAGGAATATTGGGAGCTCTGCTGGGCCAAAGACAATCCTGGGGATACTCTTGGAGCCCCAGAGTCCTAAGGGAGAAGGGCCCTGCCTCTTTGTGGACCTGTAAGAACCCTTTGTGTATGGGGTAGGACAAAAGTAGGTTTACAGCTGTGAGTATGCAAACACAGAGTTTATTCTTGCATTATTATTCATCCACTACTGCATTGTTTTCCATACAAACAACTCTACACCTACTTTTGCCCGCCCTGTATCATGGATAGGAGGCTTAGTCTCTCATCACGTGGCAAAGGGCAGGTGTTCATGTTCCCGCTTTGTGGGATGAGGTCACAGGTGGGGGTGCTCTAGTGAAAATCATGGTGTTCCCACAGCGGAAGCAGGATGGTTTTCCTGCAGACCCACCCCGAGTGTGCGCGCACCTGACGTTCCCGAGGCTGGATGGAGAGGCCCCCGAAGGCCCTTCGCTGCTGCGCCCCCACCCAGAGCCGCTGTCTGGCGGGTCCAGGAATTCCCTATTCACAGCCACTGCCCTGGTCTCCCAAGGACAGTCCTGCCTTATGGCCCGACGCAGTGCCAAGCCTAGCCTGCTATGACCCAGGCCCACATCACCAGGTCTGCCTATGGTCATACTGGCCTTTTGAGTTGGAGGGCGGTACAGAGGAGCGGGCTCCAGAAAGGTGAGACAGGAGTGGGTCGGAGAGTGAACAAAAAGGCAGGAGAGTGGGGGTGGGGCAAGAGCATAGACCTCAGAACCGGGTGGTGGGCCCAGCTTCTCAGCCACGAGCTCTTCCTGGTTGCAATCGACACCTATGAGCCCAGGCTCGTCCACGCCCCCCTGAGAGCCTCAGGTGTGGGTCGAGAGCAGATAACTTCTGCCCAAAGAAGAGAGCGTGTTCCACTGATGGGGTACGGAGCCCTGCGTGTGGGACCTCCCTGACCCTAGACCTGATCTGAGGGCCTGGGCCCAGCACCGATCCCTCCTTGTCACTGCCCCTGGACCTGGCACATCGTCCTCTCCTTCTGTGGCTCACCTGCTGGCCCAACCCATCGCCTGTCTGGACTACAGTGTCTGCCATCCTCTCTGGTTTGGCCAGTTTCTTGGGACCACTTTGTACATTTTCCATTCTTGGTACTCATTCTGAGTGTGTGTGAGTGTGTGTGAGTGTGTGTGTGTGTGTGTGTGTGTGCAGAAAGTAGAGCCAGAGAGAAAAGCTGTCGAAGCCCCTTTAGCTGGACTGGGGAAGGGGGCAGGCTGACTTTGCTGGGAGCTGTGTCTTTTGGACCCCATAGCACCCCTTGGCCAGCAACCCCATGGGGCAGACACCAGAGAACGAATGACCACCCGTGGGGGCTGGGGAGCCAGACAGCAGTGTCACCGCCGCTTACCTGCAGGTTGCTGTTGACTCTCTGAGCACCACACTTGTTCACTCGCAAATCACACTTGGAAAAACAGTCAAAGAAACTGCAGTCTTCATCTCCTGTGCAATTCTGCTCGAGAATTTCCCTCATTTTAGGTTCAAAAAAGGCCATGTCCACATCGATAGCCACCACCTGTAACCACACAGCACAGGGTCACCGCGCTCAGCACTGCGGGAGCCTGTACAGCGCCTCCCTCCCAGTCCCCGGGTGGGTCACACCGCCCTGCAGGCCACGCTGGGAAACCAGGGCTCTGTCACACAAGCCATGGGCATGGATTATATTGGGAGTCTTTTACGGCCAGAGGATCCCTTTTCAGCTTTAAAAGTAGCATCTCTGAAATGTCTTCGAAGGGATTTGACTCCCACTCCTTGCTTTACCCCTTTGGTCTCCGACCTTCAAGGGTCAGGATTAGTGAGAGACAGACCACCCACCTCCATGAACATAGGCAATAACCGTTCGAGAGGCAGGACTGTGGCTGTGAAGGCGAAAATGGGTTGGATGGCACCTAAGTTGTCTGCCTACTTGTCCTACAGCATCTAGTTACCTGAGTCGACCGGTTTGCCACTGACTGGTGGGCTGGGCCCGTGAGGGGTGGCTACAGAGCTCTTGAATCGGGTCAGTACATGAGGAGTCTATCCAACACCGTCAGACCCTACAGCCCCCTGTTGGCATGAGAACTGTGACCCCTGAAATATCAGATGGATCTGCTTGGCTTCAGACCAAAGAGGCTTCAAAACCCAAACAAGAAGAAGATCTAAATGATGCAGATTTCTCCTCACCACCTGAATTTAAAAAAACACAAAAGGATGCGCTCAAACCTGAGAAAACCTGGAGTCGGCCCAAATCAAGCAGTTTGTTGCTTCGAGGTATTAAAAAGCTATTAAAAGACTTGATGAATTTGAGGGAGTCTGTGACATTTCACAAGCCTTCACAGGTCAATGTCAAACATCACCCCTTCCTTCCCTCGTTGGTAGCATCTCAACAAAGGCTCCATTTGTTTGTGTTTCTCGTTCAGGGTCGATGCCGGGAGGCAATCAAGTTTCTTAGGGAGTATTCAGTGAGACGGAGGAGGGAAAATAATTTATTTCAAAGTAGGGGGAGAATAATGGAAAAAAGAACAGGGAACTTTTTTCCCTATTAAGAGCTTTGCCTAACTACTAACTCAGGCACAGCAAACAGGAATTATCATTTTAATCCATTTTTCCTGTCTCATTATTTAGCCGAAATAGCTCCGTTCGTTATTTGCACTGGTTAATAGGCTGGGAAAGTGTTGGGCTGTGCTAATGATCAATGGCCTTTCCAGTGCATTGCTGGGGATACCAGACACCTCTCTTTCCTCTACAGTTTCTGGCCATCAGTCCTGTCCCCCTTCACCACCACCACCAAGCTTCCCCTGGGCCCCAGATGGAATTTCAGCTCCTTGCAATTTCTCTTTCCCCCCTTACTGATGGTCCCCTTCTCATCTCCCAGGGGAGCCAGATTTATTTTTTAATTTCTGTGCACGGCATAGGATAAATTCCAACCACTGCGAGCATAACTCCGAATACCTAAAATAGGAAGAGCGGGCAAACAAATCCAAACCCTGCAGGAGGGTGCTCCAGTGGCACCAGGGCGGGGTTATCTGGGCTGCCAGGCTGCGTGCGGTTCCGGCGCTTCTCAGGACGTCGGAAATCCTCCCGTCTGCAACCACGGGGACCACGCACCATGCACCCCACCCCACCCCAGCACCCCTCACCGTGAAGTCCCTCCTGATGGCAAAGTTCTCGGGCTTCACGTCGCAGAGGTGGAGGCGGTGGGAGAAGTCGCGGTCGAAGTGTCTCACCAGGTCCAGGAAGCTGAGGGCCACGTGGCCCACGGCCCGAGCCCGGCGCCGCGGGGGCCCGTCCAGGGGGAAGAGGGCCGCGCGGTGGGCGCTGCCGGCCGCCAGGTGCTCCACGGCGTAGAAGTGGCCGCAGGAGCCCAGCACGGGCGGGGCGTGCGGGCTGAGGCCGCGCAGCGCGCTGAGCAGCACGAACTCCTCCTGCTGCGCCAGGGACCACAGGCTGGCCAGCTGGCCCCGCCAGCGCGCGCCCCGGCGCCCCGGCCGCAGCGGCGCCAGGCTGCCCGCCGGCTCCAGGCCCAGGGCGCTCCTGACCTCCCCGGCCAGCAGCAGGAGCAGGTCGGCCTCCGGGAGGCCCGCGGCCCCCGCCTCGGCCGGCCGGAAGCTGGAGAAGGCCTCCTGCGTGGACTTGAGGATGACCGGGCGGCCGCGCCAGTCCGCCTGCAGCACCTTCTTGCCGCGGCCGCAGTGCAGGCTGCGCCGGTACCGCAGCCGGCCCGCCACGCACAGGTCCTCGCAGAGGTCGCCGGCCAGCGCGCCGCCCCGGTAGTCCCGGCACTGGAAGGAGGGACAGTCCGTCACCAGGGCGCAGGGGCAGGACCCCGGCGGGTTGGGGCCCGCGCAGGGTCCAGCCAGCCTTTGGGAGGCTCCCGCGAACGTGACCCACGCCGGGGCTCCCGGTCCGTGCGGACAACAGCGAAAGGCTTGCCGGTGCCTGTACCCGTGTTTCCCAGCAGGCCCAGGCCTAGGCCCTCAGAACCAAAGCACCCAGAGCCCGGAGGTCTCCCACGTCCAGCTGCGTGATGCAGGTGGCAAAGGCGTTTTGCCCTCGCGGTTGCGGTTTCCTCACCTCTGGTGAGGGCAGGGCCAGGTGGTAGGGTCCCCAGGAGCTGGTAGGCCCCATCCCAGGACAGCTAAGTCAGATCTCTGGGGGTGAGGCCGCCGCCACCTGCTGGCCCTTCTGCTGGTGTAGCCTGTGAGGCTCCAGAAGGGGGGCAGGGGTCAGAGAGCTCACAGCCCGAACCGGACTTACAATGGGCCTCGTGGCTGCCGGTCTGAGAGGGGATGCGGGCACACCAGCGGCACCCTTCGAGAGAGGAACCACGGGGGACACATTTTGGACACGGAGGGAGTGTCTGGGTCGTGGTGGGGGGAAGGCATCCAGGAGCCCTCAGATGGGGTGTTGCTCCTACACTCCAGGGCCTTTTGGATGAGTGCCACAAGAAGGGACCCAGGGACCCTGCCACCACCACACTGCAGTCATCTCTATGAAGACAGTTGAGCCAGGCCCTGATGGTTGACCTGCTGGAGGGATGGCCACCGGCAAGGCCTACCTGCCTCAGCCACACCTGGCCACCTTCCAATCGACCATGCCACTGTCTGAACTTAGTCTAGCTGTGGCCGCTGAGCCACGATCCACTACAGGTACCAGGCTCCAGAGTTCACAGAATGGGTGGCTGCCTGCGAAACTGATCGATGACAGCAGAGGACAACATGGGCAAGGTAGGAGCATGGCCAGGCATGGTCTGGGAAGACCGGCTTTGCCTCTGGGCGCTGCCCCTCACTGTATGTGTGGCTCGTTTTCAAATCTGTAACATGGGGTGATGATACTGTGTCACAGGAGACCTGTGAAGGTCAACCAAGGCCATGGGTGCACAGCACTTGGTCACATCAGGGAATGCTAGTCTTATCCAGCCCTGGTCATTGGAACTGTGGGTCAGTGAGGTCTCTTCCTGGGAAGGTGCATCTGAGTTCAGTTCTGAAAGACAAGTTGCAAGTCTGCCTGTCAGACAAGGAGGGAGAGGGTGGTGTGCTGCAGGGAAGAGCCTGTGCAAAGACCTGGGGTTGCAAAGTAGTGTGGGGTCTTCAGAGAACCAGACCATTCAGGGTCTGCAGAGCAAGGTCAGAGCGTGGGCCTGTGGGGTGAACTATCATAATGGTCATTCCTGCCCTGGCTGGTGTGACTCAGCTGGTTGGGCATCATCCTACGCACTGAGGGGTTGCGGGCTCCATCCCTGGTAGGGGCACGCAGGAGGCGGCCCATCTCATGTCCATGTCTCTCTCCCCCCCCACCCCCTCACTCTCTCCCTCTCTAAGAAATCAATAAAAAATCTAAAAAAACAATAACAATGACATCCTGGCTGATTTAGCTCAGTGGTTAGAGTGCCAGCCCCAGGACCAAAGGGTCTCGGGCTTGATTCCCAATCAAGGGCATGTACCTGGGTTGCAGGTTTGATCCCCAGCCCTGGTCAGGGTCATGCAGGAGGCAATCAATCAATGTGTCTCTCTCACATCGATGTTTCTCTCTCTCTCTCCCTCCCTCCTGCAAGAGTCGGATCAACCTTCCTCTGAGGCAAGCCCCCTGCTGGTAGGGATGCTTCTCTGCCGCGGGTTCTCTCTAAAGGACCCAAGGAGTCCCTTTTGCCATCTCCCCTCCTGCAGGCCCCCTGCAGCTCAGCCTTCCCTACAAAACTATACCGCATTAATGAAATCAAATTGAAATGGAATTGAAACCTATCCAAGGTTGGCCCCTGCAGATTTGGAAGGTAATTCCAAACAGGAGTTGCAAGATATTTTGAACAACGGTCTAATCAGGGAATTTGGCATATGGTCTATTGATTTTGGAGGGGAATATTAATGTTGGCTGTTTTCCGAAGATCAGCACATTGAGGCCTAAGGGATGCCGTGTTGGGCATTGCAAAGGACAGGAAGTGGACAGACTAGCTGAGGTCTTAGGTCCATGACCTCGTTTGTCACAGGAGACCGTTTACATTAGAGCAAAGCACACAGTGTCATTACACAGCTGTTCTTTGTTGTCATCCTTTAGGGTGCAGGACTTGGGGCAGTACCGTCCCTGCACCTCTCAATGTGGAACACAGACTTTGTCCACAGCAAATATTTGGTCCGCGGTGCCGTGGTGCATCTGTAGGGTCTCCTGGGCATCTGTGCTTACTAAACACAGAGAAAGGCTTCATCTAGCATTTAAACAGCAGCGGACTTAAAGAATAAATTAGAGGTTACAAACGAATGACTGCCAGCATGTTAGAGAATCATGAAATTATTTTAGTAGCAGCAGGTCCTATTAAATAGTTCTTTTTTAACTTTAAAAAAAAAAAGTGGTCTTATTTACTCCATTTCTAAAATGTTTTCTCTGACTATGAGAAGGTCCTAATCGCCCGTTTGAAGACAGGTATGTTTCCGTACCCAAATGTGTGTGCACACAACATCCACAGGTGTGCACAGGGGTGGGGGGCTTATTGTAGTTAAGTGGCATTTTCTAATTAGTTGAACGCACAGTGCACCCGGGTTTCCTGTGGGTGGTGTGCAGACCTGCAGACGCACCTCCTCAGCAAGCCCTGCTCTGCAGGAGCGGTCCCCCTGGCTCTCCACGTGCATCACGCGTCCCAGGCAAAGACAAAGCCTGTCAGCTCCGGTTTGGGACAGGTTGACAGGGTCTCAGAGGTCATGCCTAAGGTCTGGGTTTCCTTTGTGCATTTGTTTTTGTTTTTAAGGACTGGTATGTCCCTACGTGGTTAGCAGCGGTTGTGTCACACGATGCAGTTCCTTCCCCAGCAGTGACACTGCGCCGCAGAGCCTCGGAGCCACTGGCCAGCCCGCCGGGCAACCCTTCCTGACCCTGGACAGCTTAGATGGTGCCAATCGCGAACCTGGCCGAAGTGCCCAGGGGAACAGTCATTCTCTGCTATCAAGTCTTTCTGGGCGTTCAGCCTGGCTGTGCACTGCGTCTCCATCACAGCAAAGAAGACAAGCCCGTCCCATTGACAAGGAATCCCACATGCAGGCAACTAAGTGAACCCACTTCGAGCCCAACTAGGCAAAAGGGAAGTAATAGCAGGGAAGACTCCTCTGAATAGCAGTCTGGGGGAACAGTTCTGAGATGTTTTTAAAGTGAGGTGCCCGAGAGGGTTAAGTATACCCAGTTGTTACTGCCGGCTCTCATTACTGATGAGGCCACTCACTGCCCGGGGCCTCTCCTGTCAGACTGCACATGGTCCGCCCTGACTCCACACACACCAACTGCACGATTCAGGGCGCGTTGACCTCTCTGGGGCTCGGTTTCAACATCCGCAAAATGGGAATAGTCAAAGCAAGGCCTCCCGGAGGTTGGTGAGGGGACTGAGTGAAAGGCTACATGTAACCCTAGTAGCAGCAGCCCGGGGGGCAGACAGGGGCCGCAGCCCAGCCCTCTCCGTCCCTGCGGGAAGAGCTGCACCTGCAGAACAGGAGCCGGGTGCGAGAATTTCCCAGCACGGCCTGGGCTGGCGGGCCTGGGGGCCTCCTGGGACCGTCCTCTGGAGCAGCAGGCTGGGGAGGCCTCACAGGGCAGTGGAAGAGGACAGGGGTGCCTTGGCCATGGGATGAGCTGAACAGCCGCAGTGACAGCAGCACTGCAGTCTGAGCAGGAAAGTCGAGGCTCCCAGACCCGGGCTCGCCTCTGGAATGAGGCCAGTTGGCTCTCCAGGGCCGGGGCGTGCAGTGGGCTCCCGCAGGAGGTGGGGCGGGCTTAGGGCTAGCAGCAGACCTGGCCCCAGCGCCTCAGCTTCTGCTAGACTCCCCCAAAGGCAGGTGATGCCCCTGTGCACTGGAGGGGTGCCTGGGAACATGCCAGGCCTTGCCCACAACCCTGCTACCCCTGCCAGAGAGAGAGAGGCTCCCTTTGGCTCAGCTCGGGCACTCCTCTGTGCCCTGGTATTCAGAGGGAAAGCTAATGAGAGTCTGGAGGCCAGTCAGAAAACTAACAGCCAGTTTTATTACGGAGGATAAAAGCCAGGCAGAATGAATTGAAAGTGCTTGGGGAGCCCAGAGACAGAAGCTCGATTCAGCTGGAGTCCTGGGAGGCCACAGTGCCAGCCTCTGAGTGGCAGCCAGGGCCCAGCGAGCTCGGTTCGCAGGCCGGGGTGATATGCAAACCTCCTGCTAGTGTCGTCCTGGGTAAGGGGAGCCGGGGCATTGGGAGGGGCTCACTTCAACAGGTCAGAAAAGAGAAGGTAGAAAGGGATGCAGCAGGAAGAGAGGGAGAGGAGGCCAGGTCCTCGGCCCCAGGGAGAAACCATGGCCTCAAGCAAAGTGTGTAAATGATGCTCCCTGAACAGTCAGTTCACTGAGACAGCGGCAGGTGAGCTGTAGGGAGACGGACCTGGTACTGCAAATCATTCCTTTGGCAATGCGCAAGGAGCGAGCCTGCCAACGCAGGACCTACCTCTTCCGCTGTAGGTCACACTAAAAGCGACCCCAACGGCTGCCATTGGAGATAGACCGGTAGAACCCCTCCCCAGAATTGGTTTTAATTTATGAGCTGAAATGTTGGAAAAGTTATGATTAGCAATTACTTAAATGATATTAGGTATTTCATTTCCACTAGGTCTTTCCCTACTTAATCAAAGGTAGGAAAATAAAAAATAGAATTCTTTTTTTTTTTTTTTTGCTTTAATCTAAAAGATTATTTTATATTACTTTTGTAAACCGAAGTACTCCATCCTGGTCACACTATTAATCTTTGTTCACTATAAACAGTCAGTCAGTCCCTCCAAAATGAAAGGGATTTTTAGATGGGTTACTGAGAAATTCAATGAGCCCGTGTAACTTAAGGAAAACTTGATAGAACTTCAGTGTGCCAGTGGGTGAATGGATGGAGGGATGCCTGGATGGATGCCTGGAGGGACGGTGGATGATAAATATCTCACTAACATTATAATCAATCCATGATGATATCTAGCAAACTCAATTAGGTAAAATAATGTGTTTTAGCTTGTACCTTTCACTCTTTAATTCTTAAAATTTCCCATCTTTTTATTTTAAAAAAAAATCATTTACTTGAAAACTTTTATGCTACCTCATTTTGAAAACTTAGTCTCGAAGGGCCCACCCATATGTAACCAATTGGACCGGATACGTCCCATGCAGTTCTTGGAGATTTCTTAGAAAACAGATCCCTTTTCACACCAAATGCTTAGATGCTCACCGTTTAGGGAAGTGGATAAACGCTTCAAAGTCAACGTAACAGCCGTAGCCGCTGTCTTCATCTTTCTCGGCTTTCCTTTCGGGGATCAGTACCTCTGTTCAAGTCTCCTAATGCGCATACTCTTCGGAACCGAACTGAGACTAAGGAGCAGCCACCGCGGAGCATCTGGGGCCCAGGGCTGCTCCCCTTACCGCCCCGCCCAGCGGAGAGGCGACCTGGCCTCCCCTGGAGGGACGGAGGCTGCGGTCACTACCCCAGGACGAGGGTCCACGGTCTGAACCAACCACCTCCCAGCAGCACGCTTTGCCCGGGGTCCCGCAGACGCACAGGGCGAGCGCTGCTGGGGGCGCAGGAGGCAGGACCCCGGCAGCCGTCTGCACAGCGCGGCGAAGCCCAGGCTGGAATCACAGAGTGGAGCAGGAGCCAGGGAACAGCGACCCGAGAGGCATCTTGGCCCGCACCCTGGCCAGCGCCCCCACCCGGGCTGCCCACAGGCAGGTTTCGGCCACCGAAGGGCTGTGGGGAGACTCGGAGCCTACCCGCAAACTTTCTCTAGGAGCGCAGGCTTAGGGACGGAGGGAGAACGGCCGGGCTGGAAGGCTCTTGGGACAAAGGACCAATTTTTGAGATGTGGAGAGAAACCCCCCTGCGCACCCCCAGAGGACTCGGGGTACAGCGCCCACCCCGGAGATGGGGCGCGCGCACCCGGCATCCCGTGCCCCAGCCCCACCCCGTCACCCGGGCGCGCGCAGGGCAGTGCGGCAGCGGGACCTACCAGCGAGGCCAGGATGCGCCGGCTCTTCTCGTCCGTGCAGCGCTCGGGGAGGACGCCCGGGTGCGCGCGGAGCAGCAGCGCGGCCGCCAGCACCCAGCCCGCGGTCCAGGCGGCGCAGGCGACCAGCGCGCCCCGCCCGCACCTCCAGCGCCGCCGGCACCCCCCGGGCCGGCCCCGCGCGCCCGCAGCCCTCGCCATGGCCAGCCTGCCCGCCGCCCACTCTGCCTCTGTGCCCGGCGTGTCGCCGTTCGTTCCACTGCTGCGGGTTCCGCGGGGGCGGGGGCCGGGGGAGAGGCCGCGCAAGGGAGGAGAGGCCCCGCGCTGGATACCCTGCCCAGCGAGGCTTGGGGCGGGTGGGGGTGCCCACCGCACACTGGGGAAGGGAGTGTGCGCTGGCCGCCCCCTCCCCCACAGCACCCCGACACCCTTTCCACTTTTTTTTTTTTTTTGCACCATTTTCCCCCCAAGACCAGCTCCCTTCTTAAACAGAATCCATACGGATCCAGATCGCTTGTCTGGATTCCTGGCTCCTCCGTCAACATGTCTTCAAATCAGACAAAATCCGCTCCCTTCCCCTTCCCTCTGGGCAGCCGCTCAGGGTCCCAGATCTAGACCCCTGGTTGCTCTCTGTCCCCCACCCCCATTCGTCTCTCCCTTAGATTCCTACCTCCTCTGCCTCACCCCGACTTGGGAGGCCCCCCAGGTGAGACCCTGCGGAGCATAAGTCAGGGGTCCGGGACTGTCTAGGACGCTGTGGCCCCTGCCGCTGCCCTTCCCAGGCAGCCTCCTAAATCCAGAGCCCCATCCCCCCCGGCTGCCAAAAACTCCGGGCTGGCCTTTCCAGCAGCAAAAAGCGCAGTATTCTAAACATTTCCACTTCTCCTGGCCAGCAGAAAGCCTCCCTAAACGAGTCTCAGTCTGCATTTGGGTCTACTTGTAGCACGGTCTCCAGAGCGGGAGACTTTACAGAAAATAGGCGGATGCCTTGGCTGGCAGACCTGCCCCTGGTCCCTGCCAGCCGCTCCTCCCCATGCCACCGTGTTGCTCCTCCGCTCCCTGAAAGCCTGCCTCTCAAAGTCCTGGTGGGGGTGCGCCCTGAGCTGTCGCAGAGGCCAGCCTCTGCCAGCGCCCGCCGAGGCCCAGGGCCCTGCGTTCGCTCTGCACGAGCCTGCTCTGGGCCTGGTGGCTGCCAGCCCACCGAGGGCGCACTCTCTCCCGCCTGCTGCGCTGGGCCTGGATCGCACACATCTTGAGTGTGGGGACAGCAGGAATTACTCTGGCCCTGAAGCAGTCTGTCGTTCTCCCTTGGAACCGGCTTCCTAACCTGTAACTCACTGGTTTAACTTCAGATCTCACGACTCAGTGGTAGAGGTTTCCAGAAACTGTGAAACTTCACATTAACAAATGCTCAACCCTAAGGAACACTCTGGGTACACCACAGATAGTCCCTAGTGCCACAGACACTTGGGATTTGGGGATCACAGTCAACAGCAATAATGCCCGTCCCTTCCCTTATGACCAGCCCTCCCACCCCCAGGGCACACCCCACCCCGACCCCAAGCACCAAGCGGGAATCATTTTCTAGGCTGTACCAACTCGGTCATCTTGTTTCAAAATAGTTGTAGAGCACAAGGAGTCTTAGGAGACTGCTTTAATGTCCTGACTCGATGGCGCAAAGGTGACTGACCTCCTTTCCCGAAAACTGGATGGGAGGATGAGATAAAGAAGTGTAAACGTTCACCCTTTCAAACCTAAGCATGAAAACAGGGGGGGGGGAGCAGAATTCGAAATCAAAGTTAGGATTGGCAAGGTGAGCTTTGCTTTTGTAAGTTTCTCAAATATGTTCATGATCACACTTGTTTTGGAATTTTAAAAAGGAGAGTATGCAGAACGTTATAGCCCCACGATGAGGAGTTCGGCATTCAGCACTGTTTTAGTAGAGAAGCTGTCCTCTCGGGAGCCCCAATAACCCGCAGAAGGCAGGAGCGATGCAGTGCTGCCACCTGCTGTGCGGGCTGCACACTGCACGGAGCCAAGAGAGATGAGGGCTGAAGTCCCCCAGACTCTGCTCACCAAGCCCTAGTCCTGGGGAGGAGGGTCCTCATCTACCAGGAAGCCTTTTGAAAGCAACTGTCCAGCAGGGGCTTGGGGTGGGGGGGATTCACACAAATGTCCTTACAGGCCAACTGGTACGAAAGCGATTTCCCTCGAGCAGCAAGAAGACAAGCAAGTAAATCATCACATGAACCACAACGTGTGGGGCTGTGGCCTAACATGGGAACAGGAGCTTGCTTGCTGTGTGTGGGTGCCAGCGGCAGGCTGGCAGGGCCTGGCAGGGGCTGCAGGTCAGGGTGAGGTGTCCACAGAGCCGGGAGAACCGATCTGAGTAGGCTTTGACTCCTTTAAAAAACCACGAAATTCAGCAACTACTTTCCCCGCCTCCCCAGCCCACACTACGAAGCTCGCAGTCACACCACTGGAAATGGCTACGTGCAGTGATCCCTCCAGTCACACCTAATTCACACAGAAATTCATACGGCAACTCCCCTCGTTCTAAAGGAGATGGAAGTTTGGATCTGTAGAACCCATGGCCTAGGAGCAGGTAAAAGTGCTCAAGTCTGGGGCTGTGCCCCCAGCCCAGGTCTCAGGCACCCACAACAGAGCAGAGCAAACATGCCACGTGACCAGGGTTTGTCTGTTTTAATTAAGCACGTAGACTAGACTGTGCTTATTCATTGATTTCTCCCACCGGACAAGAGGCTACGGACTCTGTGTGTTTTATGTTGGTACCCCAGTACCCGATCTGAGGGAATGAGAGGAAGACGTAGTCTAGTCTTTCCTCTGAAAGATCAGAAACCTTTGAGCACCCTGAAGAATTTGTCTTGAGAACTTTTCTTTTAACACATAAATATTTCTTTCTGATTTCCCGAGGCTAAATTGAACAGCGCAAACACATCACAGGGCTACAAATATGTCTGAACATATCCTCGGGGCTCTGGACGCCGTTGTTGATGGTTAAACTTGTCACCGAGAATGGAATGTGAACCTCGCTTGTCGGCCATCGCTGGAGGAACAGGTACAATTCTGTGCTTCTCTGACTCCAGTGACACCAAAGAGCTTTATTAATGTTTGCTTCTGCTACATTTCCACCTACCTCGAGCTCATAAAAGTGTTTTCCTTTCTACAGAGACCGGCAGCAACAAACATACCTGTACTTGTATGTATTTAATATGTTTGCATCCATGGGCTCACATAATTTGCCCAGCACCTGGCGAGGTGACTGAGTGCCATTGCCTAATACTTCACAGAGAAGGGGATGGCTTTTGAATATGACCCTGAGACCGGTCAGAGACCCACTCACCTGCTCCAGGTGTGCGGCTCCGATTCCTGTTCCGAGGCTGGAGTCTCCCACTCCGGACACGAGATCATGAGCTGTGTGCACGTCTCAGCCGATGACTGAAATAATCTGCCACAGGCCAAACACATTTCAGACGCTGGTCAGCGTCACCCATCGTTTGTCATGGAGAACAAGATTTAACTCAGGCTTAGCTTTCCCACGAGGAGTGCCTGTTGCCCATCCAGCGGTGGCTACCACATCTGTGGATGGTGGCAGCGCAGGAAAGGGGTAGCCAGCCACCTTTCAGAAGGAGGTGTGTCACTGCCCCCTGTTGTGGGGTGATGGGGTGAGGGAGGGTGAGCCTGAAGAAACAGGGATAGCCACACTCCCCTCCCCTCTCAAAAAAAAGGTCTCTATTCAAACACCTTCCACACTGCAGAAAGGTGACCACACCGTCGTTTGGGTTTTACGTAAGTGCGTTTGGGTACTTACCTCGCTTTTGTCTTAAGTGAGATCAGCCATATTTATAGATGAGAGTTTCGTGTGGAGGGGAAGGAGAAGTTATTTCCTAGTCTGGGGCCAGCCCGGGTGGGGGTCCAGGTGTAGGTGCCTCTGGTGAGTCTGTCACAACCAGAGGCCAAGATGCCAGGAGAGAAGGCGATAGGAGCTTCAAGGCGTGAAAACGAAAACAAACCAAACAGCACACACACGACCAATGCCTGGCCTCTTCCACAACCTTGCTTACGGGCCCGGATCACCCAGTGTGCAAAGCTCCGGGTGGTTTACCCCATGCAGGAGGATTCGGCATTCTTGAAGGGTGTGGGCAAAGCCGGAGCATCAGAATATCGTTACAACTACAGCAGCAGCGGGTTGGAAGTGACCTACCTGGGTGGTGGGGATGGTCCCGTGCAGCTCGCTCATCCCAGGCGGAGAAGGGCGTGCAGCCCTGGACCGGCGGCCAACCGCGTGTCCACAGGCCGCGGGTAGCGGGGTCCTTCCCGGGCCCCTCACCACGGCTGGGCTGGTTCGCTGGCGCCCCCTGCTGCCCTGCCGTCGAGTTGCCCAGGAATCTGCACGAGATGAGTCAGTGCTGCTTACAGGATTCGCCTCCCATCATCAGCCATTGGGTTTCCAAACCCGCCCAGTTGCACTGCATGGTTTGGGAGTAAATTTTAGGAAATGCCTAACCTTTTTTTTTTTTTATCCTCACCCGAGGATATTTTTCCATTTTTTTTCTTTGTACAGACAGAGTGGGAGGGAGAGAGAGAGAAACATCGACGTGAAGGGACACATCGAGTGGCTGCCACCCGCACAACCAACCAGGGCAGGGGACAAACTGCAACCGAAGTACGTGCCCTTAGCGGGAACTGAACCCGGGTCTCTCAGGACCGCAGGCCGACGCTCTAACCGCTGGGGCGGAAATGCCTAACCTTTTTTTGGCTTCCCTGCTTGTAGTTTCATTTCAGCTCGACACAGCTGCCTGTTGGGTGGTCCCCCAGCGCCCGTGGAGAGGTGGAGCAGCCACCCCCACGTGGATCCGTGTCCCTCTGTCCTGTGGGGCTCACTTTTCACACAGCCGGCTTCATGTGCACACAGCCAAGGACCCCTCCCCAGCCCTTTCTCTTCTGTGGGAGCCCCTCACAGGGAAAACATCTATCATGCTTTTTGGCCTTGAAACACAGGGGCCCTTAGGAAAGGGTGACATTCCAGAATTTATTTCCTTTTTGGCAAATGACATGCAACTCTTGTTTTTTTGTTTTTTTTTTTTGTTAATCCTCACCAGAGGATATTATTCCATTGATTTTTTAGATAGAGTGGAAGACAGGGAGGGAGGGAGAGAGAGAGAGAAGCATCCTGACGG